ATATATATATATATATATTATTAATTTATACTTTCAAAAGTACATTTATAACACGAATTTAAAAATAAAAGTAAATTAAGTGAAAGAAGAAATTGGTCTGTAATACTCTGATACATGTGGCGGACATTAATATTTGACTTGCTGAGCCGCATTGAGGAACGCCGGCTTGGCCATCCCAGGTGAAGAGGATTGGGCCATCTTGACGGGACTTTTGGCCATCACCGGTGAAGAGGATGGGGCCATCTTTTTTGGCCATCCCTGATGAAGCGGATTGGGCCATCTTGACGGGACCTTTGGCCATCACTTGTGAAGAGGATGGGGCCATCTTGACGGGACTTTTGGCCATCCCTGATGAAGAGGATTGGGCCATCTGGACGAGATTTTAGGCCATCACTGGTGAAGAGGATGGGGGCCATCTCGTTGGGTCTTTTTTATGTATTCAATTCTCGTACCCTGCATTTCTGGTGTTGGAATAATAATTACAGCTGATGGGGTGGCGCATGCGTCGTGGGGAAAATGACCGACTCCGCCCCTGAGAGCGGGTGGCCACACACATTGTTTTGAAGCAAACGTTCACAACGCTACACATAAGGATGCTAGTTGACCAAAACGGATTGTTTTCCTGACAGGTAGCTGAGAGGAAGACCAAGATTGTCCTGACGGTACGAAACCCAAAGGACACCGCTGTCTCCTTCTACAACCACCACATCGCCCTCAAAGCCTGGTATTCTTATGACGGACTTTTCAGGGACTGGTTCCAGCTCTACATGGACGGGCTAGGTCCGTAGGTCAATAGTTCATCCATCGACAGTTATGATGATTATAAGTACACAAATATGACACAGATATGACATAGATATGACAAAAATATGTCACAGATATTTGACAGCAGGAGTTAAGGATCTATCTTATTGATCCCCAGAGTGATACCATAATATCGCCTCTTCCGCCTCTCCTGTTATCCGCAGGGAAGCAACCACACTAGTATAAAAAAGAGGGTCTCGCTAACAACTTACTAAAGCGGAAACCGCACTCTTCTAACCTTTGAGTCACACGACCGATTTACCAAAGCATCAACAGCGCAGTTGTTTGAAACAAAGTTTCCTTTCAGATTATCTGTGTTCCTCAACACCGAGTCACCGTGTGCGTCGTAAAACTGCTAAATACAACATGGATGACACTCCGATATGAGATCTCACTGAAACTCCACAAGAATACAGTCCACTGGATAACCCCGAGGACTGTCCATACTACTGACGCGGACTGCTCATACTACTGACAAGGACGGTCCATACTACTGATGAGTACTGCTCATACTACTGACAAGGACTGTCCATACTACTGACGAGGACTGCTCATACTACTGACGAGGACTGCTCATACTACTGACGAGGACTGCTCATACTACTGACGAGGTCTACTCATACTACTGACGAGGAGTGTCCACACTACGGACGAGGACTGTCCATACTACTGACGAGGAGTGTCCACACTACGGACGAGGACTGTCCATACTTCTGACGAGGACTGTCCATACTACAAACGAGACCCGTTGACACACTTCTGGGAAAAGTGACCGGAACTAACATCAACTTGCAGTAGCCTAAGAGAACTTCTGACCAACCAAAATGCCATCTTGCTGACACGACATCTTAAACGCGCTCACAGACACAACATCACACACACACACACACACACTTGTTCATTGTCATCACATCTCGACCAGTCACAATTAGGTATCAAAATGCAACTCTGATTCACAAGTCGGCCCCAAAAGCGATCGCTCCGCTGAACGCGGTAGATTCTCATCTCATGATAGCAAGTACGCCATACAGACTTCTAGAACAGGAAATATACACTTATGACACCAAATCTCAGGGAGTATTCACAAAGAAACTCCGGGTTTTTTTGTTTGTTTTTTTGTGGGGTTAAAAATATATAATTTCTTTTTTGTTTTGTTGTTCTTGTTAATAGCTCCAAAAAAAAGTATGAATTCATTTAGTTATTCCGCCAAAATGAACATGTGGTTCAATTATTAGAAATAAGCCATGTATAAGCAGTCAATGGAATTTATTCAAAAGAGATTAAATAAGGTTTTTAATTTATTTCACTAATGAGCAATGGAAGAAGATAAAATAAGATGTTTAAAAAAAAAATTAACATCGCTTTTAGACTTTTAGCCTATTTTTGAAGGATGACATTTTAGACTTTTGTCCATTTGTGAAGGCTGACATTTTAGACTTTTTTCATTTTGTGAAGGCTGACGTTTGAGACTTTCGTTCATTTTTTGAAGGCTGACATTTTAGACATTTTTACAATTTTAGCTGGATCAAATTTTAAACTTTTGACCAGTTTTCTTTTAAAGACCTAAATTTTAGACGTTTGTATAGTTAGCGAAGGCTGACATTTTGAGTGATTGCAGTACTCTAGAACCGTGAGTGAAAGAACAAAACATGTCTTGAATGATATTGTCGACGAAAAGGAAAATAGATATCTAGAAATATGGTGGTCTCATCGATTCGAAAACACAAGCTAATAAAACATTTTAAAGCAAATATCATTGCCAATGTTTGTGACTATGGTTCGGTCGACTGCATCAATGTTTGAGAATCCTCACACTAGTGCATGTTATTAGACATTTTTTCCCCCTTCTATTTGTTGTACATAGTCGATTACGGCACCTACTTCAACTAATACAAGGATTGGGATCACGTGATCAAGTAGGACCCTAGCAATCCTATCCTTGTGGTCAACTTCGAAGACATGAAAGAGGTGAAACAAAAAAAAACACTATTTTAAGTCGGTGGGGGTACAAATAAGATTATTTAGCTTTTAATTTCATGGAGTTAAAAGAAGTTTTTCCGAATTTTAAAAAGTTAGAGTATAATATGTCTGAAATTAGCGCAAAAAGTGTTTTTACCAGATAACAAAATGCACTTAAATTCGGCCGCGAAATATTCATTACAAAGGCAGCGGCCATCTTTCAGATTTTTAACACCGTAAAAAGATTACCTTTTAAACCCCTACCCACTAAGGATGTTTGGTTGCTGCTTGTTTCATATTCTAGCAAGCTGAATTTATCCTAAAAAATCTACAACTGATGAAGTAAATAAATAGTGGACCAAGATGTGTTTAGATTTGCAAATAAAAGACAAGTCAATAAAGTGAACGTTCCGCGTAAAAAAAAAAAACGATCTTCAGCAGACAATTTATTGTTTGTCCATTTGCACGCAAAGATGACCAAGGAACTTTTCAAGCCGTTTTTTTTCTTTAAAAGTGAGGGAGGATTGCTCTATTCGTCAGCCTCACTCTCTCGTCCTTGCCATTGAAATCGGCCAGGGTGCAGAAGATGCCCAGAAGTTTGTCTTCTGTTTTTCACTGTGCTGTTGTTTTTTTTTTTTTTTTTTTTTGCGCTCTATGTCGCAGGAGTTGTTGGAATTTTCATTGGCCTCAATGTCATACCGCATACGGGACTCAATCTCCGGGTTTGATGTCAGGGTTCGCCTTCTCGTTGATGATGAGCCCTCCAGGCTTGACGAGTCCAAACCACCCGGGGGCGCTTGTGATGTTTTTGCGCTGTGTTGGGATTTCCTCAGTTTAAATTACTCGGCCACTCAGCAGACAACGCAAAACAAAAAACAGCAGATACATTTATTAAAAAAAATATATTTTTTTCGAAGATCTCAATAAATTCAATACATATTATTACAATTGATGACATGTTTGGAGCTATCAAATTATGGCTGATCCCCAAACAGAGGAGATTGTGCGAAAGACTAACACATCGTATGTAGCCATGGATGTACGTTTAAAAATCTTATCAACAGACTCTTATCCATTCTTAGCGTTCTTTTTGGATCTAGTGCCGTATTCATTACCATTGTCAAATGAAATTCAGTTATCGTTTCACAGCTTTACTTACTGTCTTAGCATTTGCCACACACAAGGCTGCCTGATAGTAATATTTATGTATAACAGCGGTTCTCAACATGCAGGTCGCTTAAGACCATCGGAAAACACATATACTCTATAGTTATAAAGTAGCAACAAAATAAATTTTGTGGTTGGGGGTCGCCACAACATGAGGAACTGTATCAAGGGTCGCGGCATTAGGAAGGTTTAGAGCCACTGCTGTATAACAATGGTTTTGCTCTTTAAAACCTTGTTGTTTAAATGAAACTTGTTTTAAAAAAAATAATAATTTTCTTAAATTGAAATTAAAACTATTTGTTAAAATATTATAATTTGGTCAAAATGAATTTAGTTCCCAAGCTAATTTTGGAAGAAATCGTTCGGAGCAATGTAATTTTGAAAACTGAGAACTATCAGAAATTTTATTCCAATTTTTTTTAAAAAATGGACGGCATCTTATTTTTTAAATTATTGTACTCTTTTACGAGTTCCTCAAAGTGTTTTTTCTCTTGAAAGCTGGTGGAAGACATTGCCAGCGCTGCAGAATTTGGCG